CTGTCATAATCTGACACTCAGGATGCTATAAATCTGTTTGACATCACAGATGTTAAAAGACTAGGAAGTGGATGGAGCTTGCATGTGGAGGCCATCTCCTTTCCTATAACTTTGAGGGTCCCAGCAGCAATACCACATTGCTGAACTGAAGCTAAACAGCAGTCCCTGCAGTCCCTTAGATGTCCTCTCTCACCTGGGGAGCTTTTAGACACAAACATTGTTTGTGACATTAGGATGTTAAAATTTATTTTGCCTTGAGTTCTTAACTCAGAAAGCTTAAGTGGAAGAAGAGATATATTATTTAACATTGTCACTTTTTTCTTGCATTTTTTTCCATGTGAGGAACAAAGAATAGAAAACTTTATTTCTTAAGCTTCTTAGGGAGATATTTTGTTTTTAAAAATAAAATGTTTTTTCCTGAATTTTTAAAAATTTCTGAGACCAATATAAAAGCTTAATTCAGCAACAGAGAAAAGTTGGTGGCCACATAGATCTTGAGGAATTTTATTTTTATCTTTATTAAAAAAAATAGATTTACTTTCAGTTGTGTGATTCTTAATTTTGTAGCCTTTCTAAATGAATACATTTAAAAAACAGAAGCCAACTTATTAGTCATATTATTAATAGCTCTGGCAAGAAGGTTGTAAGTTATCTTCCCTTCTCTGATTCTTTGAATAAACTAAGTGACTGCTAGTTTTAATTTTCTCCTACTTAGTTGTTTTGTTTTAGAATTAGAACTAAGTTAAAGTGAAGGTTCTTGAAATTGATGTATATTTACTTATAATTATAGTTTAAAAAACAAACACCTAAAGACCATTATACTTTTTTTTAGGTTCTTTTACTTGTATGTATTGCTTTCATGGCTGATAAAACAAATAATTTTATGACTTAATTATAAAACTTAGAGCATAGTTATATTTAAAGTAGTGCTTGGTAACAAGTCAGTATGTTCTTGATTCATCAATGTATAGGAAGGTAGTAAAGCATCGTAATTCCAATTTTATTTTAGTTATTGACTAGGAGATAGAAGAGATACTGATATTACAAAATTCAGTGTGAAAGATGATTGATTAAATAGTCTCAGGACTGGTTTTCCTTTAGTTCCTTCTATTTGTGTCTTGTTAATAACATTGACTTATAAAAACTAGATTGTTCTTTGTTGGAATGTTTTAAAAAGTATTATTGAGGAAATACCTGTTTTATGTAACATAACAGTTTTATAAGAAAATTGAAAGCTACTATTAATACAGTCTGTTATTATGTCTTTATTCCCTTTAAACATAGTTGTATCAGACTGGGTCCAGTCAGGAGATAGAAACCACACAGAGGGTTAAATGGGGTAAGTTTCATATGAAGTATTTTTAAATTCTGATAAAAGAATGACTATAAGATGTAAGAAAACTGCAAATGATACTCTAGGGCTAAGGGAGGAAAGTCACACTAAACGTCATCTTCTGTCCAGGGCTGGATTTAGAACTTGTTGGAGAAGATACAGTTCAGTCCACTCGATTAGTACAGAAATTCACTCTTTTGCCCAAACTGTAGCCAGTCTTCAGTCACTGGGCAGTCAGGACAACCTGGAATGCAGGACACCAGCAACAAGTGGCCTGGGCATGTGGAGGGTGTGGCAGCTGTATGGGAAGTTGCAGGTAAGCCACCCACGTAGGCCTCCTGAGGAAATCAGGGGCTAACAGAGTCTAGGCGTCTTCAGTGGGCCTGTACAAACAGGAGCCTCTTTTTCCCTGCACTGTCCTTTTCGCCTTCTACTGAGAAAGCGTAATGTAGTTCTAAGAGTAGAAATGCTTCAGGAGCACCTGGGTGGCTCATTCAGCTAAGCATGGTTTCAGCTCACGTCATGATCTCAGAGACATGCGATCGAGCCTCACATTGGGCTCTATGCTGGGCATGGAGCTGCTTAAGATTCTCTCCCTCTGCCCCTCTCCACTGCAGTTCACATGTGTGCACACCCGCATGTGCACGCACGTCTCTCTGTTTCTCTCAAAGAAAGCAAAAAAAAGAAATGCTTCAATTGTGTCTGTTATGGCAGGACATATATTAAAGGGTGAATTTGAAGCTAAGAGTCATTAAATTGATAATGGGCACAATAATGATTCTTTTTCCAGTTTTATCTTTTTTGCCATTCAGGTGTATAAAAACTTTTTACTGATTACCTTTCTGTACTTCTTATCATTTGTGTTTGCTTCCTTTCCTTTAGCCCTACTGACATTTTGGGTCAGATAATTCTTGGTTGTGGGGAGTTGTTCTGTGCGTATGTTTGGCACATATGTATGTTTGGCAGCATACCTGGCCTCTACTCACTAGATGCTAGTATCACACATAAACAGTTGTGACAACCGAAAATGTCTCCAGACCCACTGATGAGCATAAATCTCTTCTGGTTAAGAACTGCTGCTTTTAAAAAACATTATTAAAAACAATCTAGTTCTGTCTTGTAATAAAGATTTGTGAGATGCCTAGGTAGCTTAGCGGTTGAGTGTCTGCCTTTGGCTCAGGGCTGGGATCAAGTCCCACATTGGGCTCCTTACATGGAGCTTGCTTCTCTCTCTGCCTATGTCTCTGCCTCTCTCTCTCAGTGTCTCTCATGAATAAATAAAATCTTCTAATAAATAAATAAAGATTTGCTTGTGGTTTTGCAAATGCCATTTTAATAAAAGAGGATGTCTCAATTATAAAATTTTGGTTTTGGAAGACGTATTAGGAACTATTTAATTGAACCTCTTTATTTCTTTTATAAGTGAATTAATTTTCAGTTGATTTGTTTCTAGTCATGTAGCTATTTTGTAGCATACCTAGGATTGGAACCCAAAATGTTCTCAAAAGTTATATATGTAGTATTTTCTTGTTCATTCTTTGACTTAAAAACATATGTTATGCATGCACTTTGGTAGATACTAGAGATTTGATGGTAAGACAGTGAGTAAAATTTGAGGTATCATGAAGAATCATTTTATTTAGCTATCACATTCTTGCTTGATACTTGATGATAGAAAGATACTTTTTAAAAAGCATTGAAAGAATAATTGATTCATATATGAAAGGTCTGTGGTTAAAGGAGCTACTCTTAGCATTAAGATGCAGTTTTGTGGTTGCAACTGTTGAAAACGGTTGTGGGCTTTGAATCAGAAGACTGAGTCTGGTCTTAGTTCTTCATGAAACTCTTAACAATTTAGGACTTTGTTATCATCTGTGACATTACATTAGACTAACTGGATTCTGAATTACCTATCCTGCCAGTTCTGATACAATATGAACTCCCAGATTGAAGTCGAGGATGAGCGTAGAGAAGGGCTAGAGACTGTCACAGTCTTCTAGGACAGGGATAGAAGAAATAACTAAAGTTTATTCTTTTATATGATTATGGTGACCTAAGTGGTATCAATACACTGGCAGTAATTTGGATTGAGATGAGTCTAGTAGTAGGGAATGTGATTTAATACCAAGATGATATCTGAAATTCTGGTGCTATTCATGTGCTTTACAGAGATTTGATTCTGAAATAAATTACTAAGTATAAAAAATAATTTTAAGATTGGATTCTGGGTAAATCAAAAAGTAGTTAAGCTAAAAAAACAACAGAATGGGAAAAATATTGTAGAGATTTATCAGTAAGGGGCTTGTGACCAGAATACATTAAAAAAAAAATCTTAACAGTAAAAACGACAACGCAGTTAGAAAGGAGACAAAGGATTTGAAGACATTTCACCAAAATAAATAAATAAATGGCCAGTAAACAAAAGATGCTCAACATAATTTCTCATTAGAGAAATGCTAGTCAAAACCATTAAGAGAGGGGTTCCTGAGTGGTTCAATCAACTGAGCATCTAACTACTTTTGATTTTGGCTCAGGTTGTGATCTCAGGGTCTTGAGATCAAGCCTCAAATGAGGCTCAACACTCAGTGCAGTCTGCTGGAGATCCTTTCTCTACCCCTCACCCCACTCTCATACTCTCGCTCTTTCTCTCAAATGAATAAATCTTAAAAAAAAAAAAACCATAAGGAGATAACATTTCAGACCCACTAGTGTGCCTCTAATAAAAAGGATGGGGAGGTGCTTCGGTGGCACAGTCCATGAAGCCACCAACTCTTGATTTTGGCTCAGGTCCTGATCTTGGGGTCCTGGGAATCAAGCCTCACATTGGACTCTATGTTTGGTGAGGAGTCTGCTTGAGGATTCTCTCCCCCTCTCTCTATTCCTCCCCACTGCCCCTCCCCCACTTGTGTGTATTTCTCTCCAAAATAAATAAGTAAATCTTTAAAAAAAAAAAAAAAGGCAGTAACAATTGTAGACATGGATGTGGACAAGTTAGAATCCTTGTACATTGCTGATGGGAATGTAAAGTGATACAACCTCTTTGGAAAACAGTTTGACAGTTTCTGAAAACATAGTACCATATGGCAGTTAAACAGTTACCAGATAAATTGGTTTCTTTTTAATTGAGCCTGAAAAATTTAAAAAGGAGTTATTTAGTCACTGAGATTAAGCTACAATTGATAGTTACTGCTTAAGTGTCAATTCCACATTTCCTTCAAACCCTTTCCTGTAGTTTTGTCTTTTTTGCTACTTAATATTTATTGTATTTAGTGTTTTGATTTTCTTTAAATAAGTTCTGGTTAAAGTTTAGATCACTTGAAGCTGTCCTTTTATTGTTTAGACAGTAGGAATAGGACAAGGAATCTAGACATTCATCCCTGTCTGATGTTTTTTGTCTTGATGACACAAGTAGTCATATCTGTTCAGGGTTTCTCTTATGAGATGAAATGTCTATGCAAATATCTAAGAAGTAGGGGCAATAATGTAGAAATGCTTATTTTATATTTTGCTTTATGTTTAGTTATGGAAAGATAAGTTTAAGAATAAATAATATACAAATGAAGCTTTTTCAAAAACGTCTAAGAGGATGTTTAACAACTTTCATTTCTTCATGAAAGGTTTTAAATTATAATGATCATTTTAAATAACAGATAATTTATCATTACAGACAGATTTGACCAATTTTGGGCCATCAACCGGAAACTCATGGAATATCCTGCAGAAGAAAATGGATTTCGTTATATCCCTTTTAGAATATATCAGGTAGGAAATGATATGGAAATAATATTTTTATTTTTTATTTTTTTTAATTTTATAAATTAATTTTTATTGGTGTTCAATTTACCAACATACAGAATAACACCCAGTGCTCATCCAGTCAAGTGTACCCCTCAGTGCCCGTCACCCATTCACCCCCACCCCCCGCCCTCCTCCCCCTCCACCACCCCTAGTTCATTTCCCAGAGTTAGAAGTCTTTATGTTCTGTCTCCCTTTCTGATATTTCTCACACATTTCTTCTCCCTTCCCCTATATTCCCTTTCACTATTATTCATATTCCCCAAATGAATGAGAGCATACACTGTTTGTCCTTCTCCGGTTGCTGTGGCCAAGTTCAAAAAGGGTGTTGCCTGAGTTCTCCTCTGGGATTTTGATGGAATCTTGTCTCACATTTAGATCTTTCATCTATTTTGAGTTTATCTTTGTGTATGGTGCAAGAGAGTGGTCCAGTTTCATTCTTCTGCATGTGGATGTCCAATTTTCCCAGCACCATTTATTGAAGAGAGTGTCTTTCTTCCAGTGGATCGTCTTTCCTCCTTTATCGTATATTAGTTGACCATAAAGTTCAGGGTCCACTTCTGGGTTCTCTGTTCTGTTCCATTGATCTATATGTCTGTTTTTGTGCCAGTACCACACTGTCTTGATGAACACAGCTTTGTAGTACAACCTGAAATCTGGCATTGTGATGCCCCCAGATATGGTTTTCTTTTTTAAAATTCCCCTGGCTGGCTGTTTGGGGTCTTTTCTGATTCCACACAAATCTTAAAATAATTTGTTCTAAGTCTCTGAAGAAAGTCCATGGTATTTTGATAGGGATTGCATTATACGTGTAAATTGCCCTGGGTAACATTGACATTTTCACAATATTAATTCTGCCAATCCATGAGCATGGAATATTTTTCCATCTCTTTGTGTCTTCCTCAATTTCTTTCAGAAGTGTTCTATAGTTTTTAGGGTATATTTTGAGAACCATTTGAATGGTAAATGGTTCTCCAACCTTTTATTTTCAGGTTGTAGGTGTCCTTCTGTCTAAAATGAGTCTCTTGTAGACAGCAAATAGATGGGTCCTGCTTTTTTATCCAGTCTGAAACCCTGCGCCTTTTGATGGGGTCATTAAGCCCATTCACGTTCAGAGTTACTATTGACAGATATGAGTTTAGTGTCATCATGATATCTATTTAGTCCTTGTTTTTGTGGATTGTTCCACTGAACTTCTTCTTAAAGGGGAGTTTTAAGAGTCCCCCTTAAAATTTCTTGCAGAGCTGGTTTGGAGGTCACATATTCTTTCAGTTCCTGCCTGTCTTGGAAGCTCTTTATCTCTCCTTCCATTTTGAATGAGAGCCTTGCTGGATAGAGTATTCTTGGTTGCATGTTCTTCTCATTTAGGACCCTGAATATATCCTGCCAGCCCTTTCTGGCCTGCCACGTCTCTGTGGAGAGGTCTGCTGTTACCCTAATATTCCTCCCCATGAAAGTCAGGGACTTCTTGTCTCTTGCTGCTTTAAGGATCTTCTCTTTATCTTTGGAATTTGCAAGCTTCACTATTAAATGTCGAGGTGTTGAACGGTTTTTATTGATTTTAGGGGGGATCTCTCTATTTCCTGGATCTGAATGCCTGTTTCCCTTCCCAGATTGGGAAAGTTTTCAGCTAGGATTTGTTCAAATACATATTCTGGCCCTCTGGCCCTTTCGGCGCCCTCGGGAACCCCAATTAAACGTAGGTTTTTCTTCCTTAGACTGTCATTTATTTGCCTTAATCTGTCTTCATGGTCCCTTAATTGATTGTCTCTTTTTTCCTCAGTTTCCCTCTTTGCCATTAACTTGTCTTCTATGTCACTCACTCGTTCTTCCACCTCGTTAACCCTCGTCGTTAGGACTTCTAGTTTGGATTGCATCTCATTCAATTGATTTTTAATTTCTGCCTGATTGGATCTAAATTCTGCAGTCATGAAGTCTCGTGAGTCCTTAATGCTTTTTTCTAGAGCCACCAGTAGCTGTATAATAGTGCTTCTGAATTGGCTTTCTGACATTGAAGTGTAATCCAGATTTTGTAGCTCTGTGGGAGAGAGGGCTGTTTCTGATTCTTTCTTTTGAGGTGAGGTTTTCCTTCTAGTCATTTTGCTCAGTGCAGAGTGGCCAAAAACAAGTTGTATTGGAACACGGGGGAGTATCACTGGTCCGTCCAGCTGGTCTTCTGGGGGAGGGGCCTGCTGTGCTGATTCTCAGGTGTTAGCACTTGGGGGAGCTGCTCTGCCCCTGCCTGCTGCAGGGCTCAGCGGGGGTTGTTTACCCCGTGGGGCCCCAGGAGGAACAGCCGCAGTTGCTATGGCAACTCTGGAAGCCTGGATTTAGCCTCCGCAGGAACTACGGGGCTCGGGGCTCTCGGCTCTCCGTCCGCAGGGCCTGGAGGCTCCGGGGCGGGGCCGCTGATCTGCTCAGCTCGGGGCAGGAGCGTCCTCGCTGTCTCGGGCCCTCCCGGCCTCTGCCTGTCCCGGGGGAGGCCGGATCCTGGGCTGTGTCCCGGCGCCCTGTGCTCCGGGGCCTGCGCTGTTGGATTCGCGCTCCCGCCCCGCAGCCCCCTCCGCGGAGCCGCCGCCCGAGCCCCTCCGAGCTGCTCCGGTCGGTCCCGCCGTGCGCGCTGCAGCCCTTAGGGAGCTCGGAGCACTCTCCGCGGGCGCAGGTGTCTGTTAGTGTCCCCGGGAGCCCGAGGGCATCCCCGCCCTCCTGGGTCCTGCTCCACCTCCCTGCGAGCCCCTTTCCGCCCGCCCGGGAAGGTTGGTGCAGCTCCTGCTCCTCCGGGACAGGGCTCTCCTGTCCTGGGGACACTCGCCCCGGCCCTCAGCCCGGCTCCTCGCGGGGCCCCTCCCCCTCGGAGGCCTTTTGTTCCTTTATTTCTTTTTCCCCGTCTTCCTACCTTGATAGAAGCGCGGACTCTTCTCACTGTAGCGTTCCAGCTGGTCTCTCTTTACATCTCAGGCCGAATTCGTAGATTTTCAGGATGGTTTGAAGGTTATCTAGGTAATTTGGTGGGGACAGGCGATTTGGGGACCCTGCTCTTCCGCCATCTTGCCCCTCCTCCAGGAAATAATATTTTTAACAATACCAACTTATAAATGCTTTAGACATCTTACTTCATGAAGTAGTATAGTCCAAAACTTTTTAGATTTGCATATAGTAACTGAAGAATATTTGTTAGAGCTTTCCAGATCTCTGTCTTTTGGTGATAATCAAGTCAGGGACTATGCTGAAATATTTGACTCATATACAGTTGATCCTCATTATTTGCAGATTCTGTATTTGCAGTTTTGCTTGCTTTCTACAATTTATTTGTAACTCCAAAGTCAGTACTCAGCAGTGCTCTCATGGACATATGCAGAGCTACAGAAAATTTGATTTCTCCAAAATGCACATTTTCAGCAATGCTGTACCTTCTTGTTTCTCCACTCTTACTATAAACAAGTGACTTCTCCAAGTCTGTTTAGTGCTATACTTTTCATGTTTTTTTGATGATTTGGTGTTCAAAATGGCTCCCAAGAGTAGTGCTGAAGTGCCATCTTTAAAAAGAAATGCACATATGGGGCGCCTGGGTGGCTCAGTCAGTTGAATGTCTGACTCTTGTATCTTGATTCTTGATCGGCTTAGGTCATGATCTCAGGATTGTGAGATCAAGTCCTGGTCAAGCTCCACACTAGGCATGGAGCCTTCTTGAGATTATCTCTCTCCCTCTACCTTCCCCATGCACATGTGCACATGCTCTGACTCTAAATAAATATATAAGTAAGTAAATAAATAAAAATCAAAAGGAACAACACACATAAAACAAGGTTATGTATCGATCAGTTGAAGAACATGTTGTGACCAGAGACACACAGTAACCCAACCCTGTTATTTCCCCCAGGAACAGTGACTCAGTATTTGCTAATTCAGTGTTTGCAGTGACTTTACAAAATGTAGCTACCACAAATAAAGAGAACTGATGTATTTGTTTTAAATGGTGAGTCTTTAGTGTTGTAAAACAAAATAGATAAATAGAACTCTCCTTATAGCAAACTTTCCTGGCGTAAAGAAACTCCTGTTTCTGTAGAGTACTTTAAAACTCCTAAGTGCTTTACATATAGCAAATACTTTGTAAATACTTGTTAAGTGAATGGTATTCCAGAAAGTAAGTTACCTATGATCTTGAAAAAAGCAGTTGAGAATAGGAATTGGAAACATAATATCACAGACATGGGCTCTAATCTAGCAGAATTTACATTCAATCTCAGAGAGATTGTGTCATAAATTCCCATTGTAACCACTTTCAGTATCCCACAGTCTTTACACATAGTTACCTAGTTAGTAATTTTAAAAATCTTTTATAGAGGCATTCATTACATAACTGTATTAAAGAGGAAAACAGATTGTGTACCTGAAAGCAAATAAATAAAAATCCCAGTATACTCGAAGAATGAAAAGTGTTCCTGATTTAAATAAGGTTTGTTTTCATTGATTTCATTAACATAATGGCAGATAAGACTATTTTTAGAGGATTCATAATAAGTACAATAGAAATAATATGAGAAAAATTCCTATTTGAACAAGAGCAGACCTAATTAGCCACATTCTCTGCTTTTTTTTTTTTTTTAATTCTACAAGTCTTTTTAACCACAGATATTATACAGTGAGTTTGGAAATACCACAGCATATTTATTTATACATAATCTTGTATTATGAAGAATCTGAGGCAATTTACACAAATACATAATGAGAAAACAAAAGAATTTAAAGTCAAAGCCACATTTGAAAAATATGAGTAATTTATAAGAATTTATAATAACAGAATTTAAAATCAAAACCACTGAAAATAAAAAATGGAAACTCACCATGAAATTATATAAATTATGAATGAGTGAGATACTCAGATTTATTAAAATTGACCTACAGATTTGACCCTGAGCATTCTTGTAGCCAGAGCAGGGGAAAAGAAATGTGGTAATACTTTTTTT